CACGCGCTGCACCTAACGGTGGTGCGGATTTCCCGCGCCAGAGGAACTGGTTTTTGGTTTCACCAACCACCACCGAGGGTCAATCACACGAGCGGGGACCGGACCGACGGCCATCGCCTGGCAGGGTCGGCCGGTCACGGTCGCTGACTGTTCGACAGTGTCAGCAGCCGGCACCGTCCAGGCTCCGACAACGCCGCTCACGACAGGCGCATCGCAATGCACACGACGGCGGGCGCACGTGCAGTGTGATCGTCGACTTACCTTACAAAAAGACATACGTCGTTAACGGCACGGTTGTTTCGAAAATGTGCGTGAAACACCTGGTGCTATTAAGAGCTAAGAGTTTACCGATGCGTACATGTCTACGTTTTTACGGACATATGTGACAAATACTATAGTTAATTAGCTGTTTATGTTGAATATTTTATAGGGTGAAATCAGCAACGCCAAATAAGCCAATGGCCCTATAGCTCTAAATCCAACGAACTTGCACGAGGAAAGTTTTCTGATTTCCTGTACTTGCAATGCCACAGTACCTGTCTGCTGGCATGGAGCATTCGGGGAGCATCGAGGCAGCGAATATTCAAACCGGTGCCGATGGGACACCATGCTGGTAGAAGCGTGCCGACCATTTGGATTTCTCGCCAAAATGATCACACTTGTCGTTCTGTGCACGCTATCATGTAATACCTAGATCGATTACCGATGCGAATTTCTTCTTTTAGTTTGAAAATAAGAAATTTCTTCGAATATGTTGCTTATCCCGTTGGCTGATAACTGCGTGCTCCTGGTTACCTTCAACAATAGTTTTGCGTGAGGCCTCAACCAAGCCAACCTCAACACCAACAACCTGGACTTTTATAGCTTCAGCGGCCCGACCCCATCTGGCCAGCCACGCTTATTACGGAGCCACAGCCCCGTAATGAGTCATATATATATATATATATATATATATATATATATATATATATATACCTAATTTAACATACATTTTTATGAAAATTTTATATGTTGCATCATTTATAACTGATATAATATATAAGTTATATATATATATATATATATATATATATATATATATATATATATACGAATAATTATGGTCACAGCCACAATTACACCACCTAAAACTTTCAGCAAGAGTAGCGGAGCTTCCTTAAAAAAAGCTGAGTTCTATTTTTTGAAGGCATCGAAATGAAAAGTTGTTGACCACGCGGTGCGTTTCTATAATAACGCAAGAACACCACAGTTTCACCAACCTATTCCATGAATGTGCTAAGCATGAATCATGCAAATTTGACGACCACAGATCGGAAACAATTTCAGATTTCGGCGAGCAGATATCGCCTAGACCTTTGACAACGCGCGATCACGCTGGCGAGGGGTTGTGACTCCATTTGTGCAGGCAAAATGCACGCTATCGTCTGCGAACCCACGGATCATAGGTCTAGAAATGTGTTGGAGTTTCTCTTCAAAATTAGGCTGCCCGGTATGGTGTTTCTCTCACCAAAATTGATGATACTCTATAGTGCATACTCCGATATCAACAGCAAATATTGAATAGGCCTTCGACAGGCAATGAAGAACGCATGCATGCAGCGCATATTTTGTATTGTTATACGCTTCAAATATTTTGTCAGATCCCTGGAATCACCACAGTGACACCATTTATCCCTGGTCCAGGGATTCCGAAAAGGGACCTAAATATTCATTTTCGGTAGGCACCAAATTCCAAGGTCACTTCTTAGACCGGCTCATTCGGCAAGGGAGCACTACAACCATTATTTCCGACACCAAAGCATTCATTTTCAAGAGATATCCAATGTCAGAGGGCACCGAGAAGGGCTGCAAGCCGTCATTCTCAACAGGCTATGCTTTCCATGCTATTCCTTCCTGCCTATCATTACGCCTATCATCATGCCATGCCTTCCAGCCCCTTAGGCGCGGTATATCAAACCTCCATTTCTGCGCACCGTGGCCTTATTTTCAAGAAGAGCTTCTGTTCGTTTCGCGATGACGAAACTCCTGATCGGCACGCCCTTCGACGTTCAGCAAAGTGACTCCCTTTTTATTTTGGGGAGTTATGGTCTTTTGCGGATGGAACCAATTCCGTGGGGCATTTGAAAGCGTCTCAACCCCTATTTTGTTAGACAACAAATGTCAGGGAAAATTACAATACCCATGGCGCTCCAATGGCAAAATGATGGATCGACCGATTCCATGCGGCGGTAACCGACCAACACCGACCCATGCAGCACTTAAGTATTTATTTGCTATGGGCAGCAAATCTAAGCGGACCACTGAATGGGCTCCGAAGCCTCATTTTAAAGGAACACCACGAGTTCTTTGCTTTTCCATCCTGACCTTCTTCTGGATTCACCCCTTCCGTAAAGAGGCACCACGAAACCCTCATAGTGGAGCACCATAAGTATTATTTAAGCAGGCACCCGATTCCAGTGAGCACCACAGTGGATTCCAAAACTTTTATTCTCAAGAGACAACAAAGTTCAGGAGGAACTACAATGTTCGCACTTCCTCATGGACAAGATTCAGGATCGGCCCATCCAGCCATGGATCATCAAAGCTTCTATTTTGAGGCGCCACAATCTTTATTTTTAACAGGTACCGAGGCCAAGCGTGCCATTAAAGAACCGCAGCACCTCTATTTTCAAAAAAGGCACTAAATCAGGTGCAACATAAGTTATGTGCCTTCCACCCTGACAAACTTCTAAGTAGTACCTCTCAATGAAGAGATACCCCATACCTTCATTGCGGGCTTCGCAACCTGCAATATTTTTGAAGAGGCACCCCCTTCTGGAGAGGCACCACGAAGACTCCCAGGACTCTTTCATTTCAAGTGGCGTCAGACTCCGAAGGGTGCTAACAACTGCCCCATTTTTTAATTTCTACGATGAACCAAGGGCGCCCACTATCGTGGAACAGGGGGACCACGTGGCTTAACTTATGGTCTTTAGGTCCCGAGGGTCCCGAGGACCCTTTTGGGCCCCGAACGAACGACGACCAAAGGTCAGAAGAGCAGCGCAGAGGATATGAAGGAGCCTTAGCTAGTAGGCAACACACTAGCTAAGGCTCCTTCAATATTTTTGTTTCCAGTGAGCTGGCTGCTATGTACTACAAGAACGAATTTGGCCTCAAAGGTCTACGAATTTTGATAGTTTCGCTGCTTTCTGCTACCCCCCCCCCCTTCCCCCCCCCACCAACATTTCATACTCGCGCCATGACATGCCACTCGAGTGGCATTACAAGTTAGGCAATGTGTTGCAAATCTGTTGCGTGTACAACGTGAGCAAGTTATTACGTTTGCGCTTAATCATTCACTGTGGAGTTGGATTACCCATAGTGCCCGCCCCTTCTGCCTGGATGAGAGGCAGGCGTCGCCGTTATAGTTTCAAAAGCGTCGTGAAAGCCCCAATCACGCAAAAACATTCAACGTGAGGCTAGTGACTGAAAAGTGTGACGTTTTGGGGCTTCGTTTTAAGTAAGCTATGGTATGTTGTTTTGTATAAGTGTCATTATTTTTTACCAAATTGTGAGACCTAACAAAATCTTGCATTATATTTACTTCAAAGAACTGATTGGGTATGGGGAGCCGGGTTCCACATTATGGGGGCCCAGCCAAATATAGCGCGGACCCAGCCCAATATTGGGAGGGGGGAGGGGACAGGCCCAACATTGGTGTGGGGCGGCTCAGTATTGGGGTCGTTGCCCCCCCAAACAGACACAAGATTCTACCCTGTCTACGGCGTGCAAGGCGTATGGTTAAGTCCAGACTAAGGAAGCGCTACTTTGTTCTATTTGCATCCTAGATGCAGTTGATATGTCCTTTGAAAACCCAAGTACTTTTAGTTGCTTTTAGAAAAACGCCGAAGTTTGAGCAAAGCCCTAATAAGCACATCGTTTCCTGCATGTAGAAACTTTGCAGCAGTCGAAACTGACAGGGATTGATAATCGAACAGACAATGAATATCAGCCGATGATAATCAGGATCAGTCAAGAAATCCCGCTAACCGAAAGCTAAACTCATTTAAGATGTTTGTAACGGCGCCCTTTCCAGAGGTGAGGTCGCTGAACCGGCGGTCACTAAGAACACTTGCCGTCACAGAGGTCAACATCCGATGGCGGCTTGGTCGCTGACAGCTCAGGCCGAAAACTGCCCAGGTCAGCTGCGAGGCCTGTCCCTCAGCAAACTCCCACTTCCACCAAGGGTCATGCGCCATCACCGCAATCGCTGCCGGCCTGATGCCCTCAGGAGGTTAGCGGTCCAGTTTGCCGAGCCCGGACACGTGTCCGAGGCTCGGGTACACGCTGCGGTGCCCGGAAGCCGGTTTCAGACGCTGTGCGAAGCCCCGCCCGGGGCGCGAGGACTTCGACGAGCCGGCCGGCGTCGGGCGCTAGCACCAGTCCCGTCCGACCGTCCAGCCACGACGTTCCCGTGCCAGCGTACAGGTCCGGAGAACAGCTGACGGCACCATGATCTCGGTCCTGCTCCTCGCTGCTCTCGTGAGTGTGAGGCGGCTGCGGTGGGCGCACAGCGGGCGGGCATGCCCCGGGAAGGAGGAATCGGACGTGCTTGTCTCATTGACTAACTGACAATATCTTTTTCAGCAATAGGTTGGTAGTTCCCTTATGACCCGTGTCTCAGTTTGTCGTCAAGAGTCGTTCGCTTTGCGACCCATCCATTACTTTGATCGGAAGTATTGTTTTTCTGACTGTTTTGACAGCTTATGCATCACGTGGAGTTTTTACGTGTGCATGCAGACCATCAGTGTTTTCCACCACTGTGAAGACACGTGGGTGAGATGATGGGCGCTTGATGCGGAAGTGTCTGCACATGGACACGCACACCAAAAATCGCCTCATTGCCTGGTGATCGTGATTTCTACTTTGTCGGCTACATTACATGCTCGTTTGTGACATCATCAGTTCAAAGTTCTTATGTTTTTTAACAGCCTTTGACGTACAAGGAGGTGCTGGCTGAACGATGTTGTAGTGTTAAATAGCAACTATATTGACCGTACTCAATATTTCGAGCTGTGCTTATCCTCAAGAGTGTGAAATAATCGCCGTTAACTCAGCATATGAACCTTAAAATCGTAATGCCGAAAAACAGGAGCATGTTGGCCTGTTACGCTCTCGTTTGGCGTTTCTTTCTCACATCAAGTTCTACTGGGATATTGACTGGCATTGCGGCGCAGTATTCATAACATATATCACTATGCCACGGTGAATCAAGGCCCTCACAGCGCAAATGCAGACTTCATTGTCTTTTTTCGCTGGGCTGAAAAGCCTGCTTTGGAACCACTAGTTGTTCTTGATTGAAGTTTGATAATGAAGGTTCGAAAATATGGTTGAAAACGCATATAATGGGCCTTCCTTTTAAGCTACATTTTCCTAGGAAGGACGTGGGTGGAGGAGAGTGCCTGTGTGTGTGTGGAAGGGGACATATTTACGCTGCTCTTTTTTCGATGGTATGATCATGCTTCTATGACGCGAGCAAAGGCTGTTTTCCAAAGTTTACGTTTATTTCAACTATGCTCAAAAATGAAAAACGATATCCGAACTACAATGAGTTGTAGTTGCACATGAACCCTTCAATATGCCAGGATGCCAGAAGGTGCCGGTGAAACGTCATAGAGCGAACATTGTTTGTAATGACAACTGTCGATATAAGTGATGTTTGTTCTTTAACTGTGTTTGACCAGTTCCTCCTGATGTAATGAAGATCGGTAGCTCAGCACAAGAACTCTGAACTAACAAGGCCGAAAAACCAGGAGCTGACAGTCTTTTTGCTTACATCAAGCAAACGATATTTCTTATCATCTTTCCTGTGTTATACATGGGATAATCAAGTGTAATGGGTTTGTTTGCATTGACATAATAGCACCTATAATAACCTACGAGTTTAACAGCGTTTCTGACCGAATCAGAGTCCGCCACTGTCATCCGTTACTGGCATCAAACGGCTTATATGCTTCTCGTAATGCTTTAAAAGCAACCTAACTTGCTTCACCTTTTGACCTCCTGAGTACGCCACCGTTCGCTCCCTGCCCTCGTTGCTCAATCGATTAGGTCCACACGATGGTGGCCGTGGGTACAGAATACTGAGAGAAGTAGGTGTGGCAAGGGTACTAGAATGGGTGTGTTCTGACGGCGCAATGTGCACATTTCTCCACGTTCAATGTTGAATGGTGCGGCCGTTGCCACGCCCGTCAAAATACATTTTCCAATCATGGCGGCGACTTCATTGGCGAGACCCAAATAAATCCGCATCAATCAATCCGCTATTCTTATTTTTCAAACTGGACTAGGGGGCTAACTAACTGAACTACGGGGCTGGGGGGTTGTGGAAACAAATCGCGCCAGTTTGATGCACGTAGCATACCTTCTCTGTTCTGGCCGTTTCATGCATTATAATTGCGTTTTTAACTGGTCTAGACTAACCCACGCAATGAATATTAGCGTCAATCATGCAACACTGAAGTATGCATCCACATCATAGCATTGCATAGTAAGCATCATTAGCAAAACCCCCGCGCTTCTGCGTCGCCCGTACCACCTGCGCCCTCCCCCCCCCCCCCCTCCCCCCCCCGTGGCAGGGTCGCGTCAGCTGACCACCCGTCGCCCAGGCTGCAGCGGTCGGACACAAAGTCTCGGCTGGACTCGTCTTCCGCCGCCGGGTCAACGGCCGGACAGCGTGCCGAACCGGCGCGGCCCGGTGACCCTGGTCAGCCCCCGCTCCCCGCCCCCACCCCCACAGTTGCCGCGCCCTCGGCTCGGCCGCCGCAGCACGTGCACCACAGCCGAGCGTGCAGCGTGCCGGCCGGCGGAGCTGCAGCCGGCCGGCCCGCCAGCACCCCGCACTCCCACCGCTCTGCTGATGCTCAGGCTGTCTACCCGGCAGTGCAGGTCGCGTCGCGTGGAGCATGTACATGCCACTCAGATTCATGCAGCTGATGACTCGTGGGGTTGCGTATTGTGCGGGATGGACCAAAAGGGAGGATCATACGGCTTCACCGTCGCACTGAAAGGGGAATCGGTGCGAGTTCCCCTAATATTTTCTGAGGACGCTTCTCCGGCATGTCGTGCAAGTGCCCACATTGTTAGTTGTCTAAGGATCATCCAATGTGCGTGTTTAACACAAAAACGTGTCCCTGGCATTTCTGATTTGGGAGAAGCGGCAGTTTTTTTAGGAGCGCTGCACAACAATCTACGGGCGGCGTGGGCGGTTTATCGGCGCCATACGTAATGAATGTTTGCTGAAAACACATAAACCTGCATACCATTTTACTTGTAATTGAACAAAGAACACACAGGAGATTTCGTGTTCCTATTATAAATGGTCTCGTATATGCGAGCATGCAAAGCTAACAAAAGTTCGATTTTCAGCACGGTTGACCCTTGACCTTGCACAATAGTCAATCATTGACCTAGCAGCATACAAGTTATTACTAATGACAGGTCCCATTAATACCAATCGTTTGGTGCTTTCCGCTAAGCTCTATTTTTCTTGGGGGATCGCATCGACCGCCCCCCTCCTCTTCAGTCCGCGTCATGAAAAACGGCGATTCAGGACGAGGGTTAACAGCCACAAGATGGAGCCTTGCTGTCGTGCCGAGACGTACTCGAACGGTTCTGTTCTTTGGTCGAAGCAAACTATGCAGCTTGTAGCCCATGCAGCATGCAAACTATGCAACAAGCTATGCAGAGGCGCACTGATGGCTGGACTGAGCGCTGGTAGCCGCGTGCCAGTGCCGGCCAGCAGTATGGCATACAGCAGCCATGTGGTAGCACATGGCTGCCGGAGACTTATCGCAGCCGTAGGCGCGGAGCCGGGACGCCGCCTTAAGTCTGACTCCGGGAGAACGCAATTCAAAACTGTACGGCATGGCCCGGTTGGCTCCTCCATGGATCCGCAGTTGTTAGACGGACCACGGGTCTGTTGTCACTTTGTGTGTACCTTGTGTATAAGCGTATATGTCTGCTGCCTTGTCGCCTGCCGCTGGCTGTTGACTGCTGAAGTAACTGAGGCCGGTAAACTTTTCTGTGGATCAGTAGGCATGGTATGGGACTTTCTAAGGGTCCACCACCAAGTGTGTTACATGGTGTGTAGGTTAATGCCTGGAGATAGTGACAACCTTTATCACGAGCTCCTTCCCAAGCACTGGGCGAAATGGTTCATTCCCGCCCAACCGTTACCAGTGGTGCGCCGGTCTGTGTTTGTGCGTTTGTCTGACTGTGGGCGACGGCCACCCGACCGTGAAGCGGGCGCGTGCCTGACCAGTGGGCCCTGTGATTGACTGCCATGCCTGTGGTGTCCCGTCAGGTGGGTCACGTGACAGGTCACGGCCGCCTGATGGACCCGCCGGCCAGGAACGCCATGTGGCGCTTCGGCTTCCCCAACCCGGTCAACTACAACGACAACGAGCTCTACTGCGGCGGCTTTATCGGTGAGCTCAGTAAAAAAAAAAACGGCAGCCTCCTCGGATAACGATAAGCCATGCATGATCTGAAATGTCAATTTATATACCGCCTCAAAGCCGGCTTTTATATTGCCGACGGTGATAGACTCAACTATAACCTGCTATTTATTGTTATCAGCATTCAAATAGTTTACCGAATCATTCCAAGTAATCCCAATTTGATAATTCCATCGTAATCCTGTTTGTAATCCCCCATGGTCTATTGCAAGGTGCCTGGAGTGTTGAGCTGAGCTCCCTGCACCATTTATCAGACTGGCCATTGCTGATAGCTTATAAAGCGCCACTATATGCGATGCAGCTTAGGGAATGCTCTCGATATCATTGCCGACACCGCTTACGGCCTCTGACATCCCCTTCAGCTCTGTGGACGTGCGATGTGCCATGCGAGTGACATTCCCCCGGTTTACAGTGCAGTACCAGCACAACCAGGGCAAATGCGGTGTGTGTGGGGACAACTACGCCCTGCCCGTGCCGCGACCTCACGAGGCCGGGGGCACCTTCGCGCAGGGCGTGATCGCTAAACGCTACGCACCTGGTCAGGTCAGTGGTGCAGGCAGACGCCGTTTCTGGACCCAGTGAGCAAGCACTTGCGTAAATATCTTGTGGTGATGATTTGTTAGATAGCTTTCTGTCGTGTTATTGATAGATGAAGGTTTCGAAAATCCAAAATTATGCATGGTGAGAAACAAATTTACCATTGATAACAGCCTATAGTCCATGTGTTCCACGCGGCTCTGATGTGCACGGTGATCATGACAGCAGTTTAAATGAATCGGGCGCCGAAGTGGAAAACGTGAAGGTAGCAGCGAACGTCGCCTTATGAGATGAGCTGGCGGGCGGCTCATTCCATATCGCGTCCCATTCTAGTTCATCAAACCGAGCTTTTGCAGACAACGCTCCGTGGTTCCAACGCGTCCTCGCCATAAGGCTCAGAATCGAAGCGTCTTTCTAGTCACCCGACTTGTGCTCGATTCCACCTGCGTGGAGTCTTATTTCAAAATCGGAACCAAAACTATGGAAATGGAGCTGAATCCGAAGCCCATTCGAGACGATTACCTAAACTTGGAAAAATCTGATCTGTGTTGAGCTAGCGAGAGTTGCCGAATTCAAGTTGGAATCCTAACAAGGTTTTTGTTATTAAAAATACATATAGTGCAAACTCGACGCCTTTCAAGCATAGCAGTATACCGTCGGTTTGTAGTGTTTCTATTACATTTCATGCGTCGTATTTGCTCGCTCATCAACATGCTTAAATACGTATTACAAAAAATTATGTCACACAAATTCTGCATGGCGCAATGACCAATCATCTGAATTACATCATATCCAACAACGCAAAGCCCCTGTTGTATGCAATGACATCGTCCTGGCCTGGTCGCAGCTGGTCGACATCGAGGTGGAGCTGACTGCCAACCACATGGGCAACTTCGTCATCCGCCTGTGCCCACACAACAACGACAAAACGACGATCACGCAGGAGTGCCTCAACAAGTGAGTCACGCTCTTCAGTGGACACGGCCGGGTGCTGTCTTCCAGCATGCTCGTCTGTGCATCACTGACGTGCGCCATCACCCTGGTCACGGTCGAACCGAGCCAATTCGTGATCCAACTTCACGAGCGGGCACGCCCGTCATCACTGAAGTAACGGGATGCCTAGGGGCCGAACTCATGACCTCTGTGGTCGCACGATGACATTAAAATCTGCCGGCAGCAGATGACAACGAGCCGTGAGTGTCATGTCCTGCTTCTGGGGGCCGGTTTACCACATCACGCATGCCGCCTACTGCCCGAGTGCACACACCACGCATGCCACCAACTGCCCGGGTGCACACGCCATGCATACCGCCTACTGCCCGGGTGCCACACCACGCATGCGGCAAACTGCCCGGGTGCACACACCACGCATGCCACCAACTGCCCGGGTGCACACACCACGCATGCCGCCTACTGTCCGGGTGCATACACCACGCATGCCGCTTACTGCCCGGGTGCACATACCACGCATGCCGCTTACTGCCCGGGTGCACACACCACGCATGCCGCCAACTGCCCGGGTGCACACACCACGCATGCCGCCAACTGCCCGGGTGCACACACCACGCATGCCGGCAACTGTCCGGGTGCACACACCACGCATGCCGGCAACTGCCCGGGTGCACACCGTCCGATTAAACAGACCTGTTGGCTTGAGCGGCACCGTTGCACAAGCGGCCTGACCAGGAGTCATAGGTGGCCCCGCCGGCCGGTGCACCCGCTGCCGGACGGGTGGTCGGTACCGGTCCGGAGGATCAGGCCGGCGAGCTGACGGACGTGTACCCGTCCGCTGCGTGACCCGGCGCTGACCCGGCCTCTGCGGCCGGCCAGCCGACCGGTCCCCCTCCCCCTTGTCGCCGGTCATTGGCACCAGCTGGAGCGGCCTGGCCGTCCGGGCTACCTTGCCCGGGGAGGCTGGCGTCAGGGGACCAGCACGCACATGGCTTTAGCAGCTCCGCTCCAGGCGCCAACACGAACTGGAAAGAACTTACGGAGATGTTCTTATGTGGCATGACGCATGTCGAAGTAGTAACGACACGAAATGCATCTTCCTTTCCACGAACAGATGCGCTTGTTTGTATGATAAAGATTGTGGATAGGTAAATATGGCGTGCATAACCCTTAATTCACACTATGACATCCGTAGACGCCCGCGCCCGCGCCGACACGCCAAAAGCACCTTCTCTGACGTCTCCTGACACGTTCCACCGACTTCGCTGCAGACACGTGCTGAAGGTGGCGGGCACCGACTCGATCCGCTTCATCATTCCGGAGGACTCGGGCAAGGCGGGCATCTTCCGCTGGAAGGTGGAGCTGCCGCCCTACTTGACGTGCACCCAGTGCGTCATGCAGTGGACCTACTACGCCGGCAACACCTGGGGCACCTGCTCGGACGGCACGCTGGCTGTCGGCTGCGGCCCGCAGGAGACATTCATCAACTGCGCCGACATCGCCATCATATCCAACACCGGCTACTTTGGGCCCGTAGATAACAGGTAGGTGCGGCTTGAATGGTGACTGGGGGATTCCACGTTAATTATTTAAGTCGTGTCCGTTAATAGCTTTAAATGCAAAGGAATTACTGCGTGCGAAATACTAAAGGGTATATAATCATTCGTATACAACAATATAAATAGCATGGCAACACAAAAATGCTTCAAATTCCAAACCCGAGCCCCTAATCGGGCGACCGCTCAAGAGGGAAGACGACTCTGTAAAAAAGATTGTACGGCCTTATACGCACTGCTTTCCTTAAGAAGCCACCATGAAACTAACCACACCGAATTTCACGCGCAGTGTGATCCGGCAATGCGCTGGTGACAATGGGCAATTTAGAGCATAGAGCATCCGTCTAGCCGCGCGCCATTACCATCCTTGCGCATTCGCGTCTATCCGTCCCCGCGCTACCCCCCCCCCCCCCCCCTCGTCCCCGTGGCGCCGCCACTCTGTTCGCACCCTCGTGCTCAACCGTATTCCCGTGCTACCCCTGCACCGCCACCCTGTTGACACCCTCCGCCTAGCAATATCCCCGTGCGCCGCCACTACGCTCGTGCTCTCGTGTCCATCTGTACTCCCCCCGCGGCCCCACCGCTCTATTCATACCCTCTGCCTATCTGTGCCCCCGTGCGCCGTCACAATGTTCGTGCTATCATGTCCATCCGTGCTCTCGTGCTCCTCCCGTGGCGTCGCCGCTCTTGTGCCCTCGTGTCCACCCGTGCTCTCGTGCCGACTCCATGGCCCGCTACTCACACGTGCCTCTCGCCTGCGTGCACTGACTCGTCCGGGCCCGTCGCCAGCCTGCGCATCCACCTGCCCTACACCAAGGCGGACGCGGCCCGGGTGGTGAGCGCCACCGACGCGCACCGCACCGAGCCGAGCGCGCCCGCTTTCCGGCCCCAAGTGTGCATCCCACACGGCCGGTTCGCCGAGCAGGAGGGCGCCGACGAGCACTGCCTGCAGTGTCTCGCCGAGCCGGACGCCTGTGAGGACGACAAGTGCATGTGCATGTGAGTACCGCTCGGCTGGATCGCGCAGCCGAGACCGGACTTCTCGGGGGGGAGGGGGGAGGGGGAGGGGGAGAGGGGAGAGGGGAGAGGGGAGAGGGGAGAGGGGAGAGGGGAGAGGGGGAGGGGGAGGGGAGGGATAGGGCAGCAGTACCCGGCTTTATAGCTTCATCCCCGATTTAGCCGGATGGTGCATCGCTGTCGCATCTGAAGTGCCGTGGTAGGTGGCTTACTGAGATTGTGCTCGACAAATTCGTGTGTTAATCGCGCTACCTTGTTTCCCACGTCGTTGACCTTGCGTCCCGTTTTACCGCAGAACCGAGTGCGAGGCGAGAGGAGAATTCGCCAAGAGGCCTCAGGCCGATCTCTACTGCCACGAGAACTGCCTGGGCTACCCCAGCCACTGTCCGGAGGACCGCTGCCGCTGTTACTGATCAAGGTGCGGCCAGCGGCGCCACGCGGGCATTATTGAAACCACTCTGTGATCGCGTTGAACGCTTCGGCTGCTTACGAAGCACGAGCTTTGGGCGAGAACAAGGACAGACTACACGCAACCACGCACTGAAAACCTCGAAAGTTCAGAGTGAGCAGTGACGTGCACAGATACACGCACACACACAACACACATACGCTCACATTATATCCTACTCGAAGCGAATACCCTAGCAGGATATTGTAAATAAAATGTGAACAAATAAGGTGGATAAAAGAAACATACTACATGTGAATACAATTCAAAGTAGTTTTAGCGTCGCTACTTTTGTACCGAATCGCTAGTGATAACAGTAACCAAATAAAACATTACAAATCTGTGGATTTATGTAATGCATCACCCAGGTGCGGGAATGCCACCCTGTTCGCCCCGCATGTCACGTGACCCCGCAGCGTTCGCTCTCGCCGTCGCGGCCGGAGCTCGCAATGCGGGGCGAAGGGCGAGCGTCAATGGAGCGATGAGTGCCTGTGGCAGTGCACCCCGCTTAAGGTGCGCTGAAATAGGAGTCGGCGCTGGCTGGCTGACTGACCACTCTCAGAGACCAACCACTGCCCATGAAGATCTCCGCCACCGCCTTGTCCGCAGTGACAAACACAGTTCAGTCCACTTTTATCGTCAGCACACAGGTTTATCCGTTTCCATTTCCATGTCACCGGTCTGTGAAAGCGCGCAACGACTCAATGCGACGACACAGCAGTGCCGATAGAAATTATGGCAACCCTGATCGGCAAAGCCGACGACAAAAACACAGGCAAAAACCGCGGTGCAAAATAATCGTGAGCCGCGTCACCTCGGTAAAGTTTATAGCGATAAAGACTATAAACTAAAAATGAATAGAAAACCACGCCGCAGAATACGGACGTGGCGCGCGGCCCGTCTGCGACAACATAGTGCGCGCCCAACGGCGGCCGGTTCCCGTCACGGCGTGGCTGCGCCCCGCCTCGATGATGACGCCGACTCCCAAGCCCGCCGGCGCCGCTGAGCCCGCGGCCTCGCGCCGGGCCGGGCCGGGCGGTCCGGCTGGCTAGCGCGCCCGAGCCACCGTCGGTCGCCAGCTAACACAACTATAGGATCACAGCGAGCCCGGCGGGACGGCGCGGCCGCCGCCCCGGCCGGCACACCATCACATCCGACCATTTGATACGACTTTGTGCGTTTGGGAGAGGCGGCGCGGCCAGGAGCGGGCTGTCTGGCGCGCCTGCGGCCACCGCCGGCGCACGGTGAGGCTGACGGCGCCCGGCGCCAGCGCCCAGCGGCTGGGGAAGAAGCTGGCCGGGACACGTAGCGCCAGCTCCGGGCGCCTGGCGTCCGGGCCGCTCCGCGCGCCGCGCCACTCGGCCCGCACCGAAGCGCCGCGCGCAGCGACAGCGGGCGCCAGGGTACATAACGGGGTACGGCGCTTGGCGCGCGGCTCACGCCAAGTCCGACGGCGCGGCCCGCTCGCGGCGCCCTCTGCCCGGCTAGCAGGCGGCCGCCGAGCCACTCCGAGGCGCCTCCCACGCACGAGCGGCAGTCGGGCGGCACTGCTGGAACGCTGCCCTGGCGTGTCACATCGCCCGGTACGGACCCTGCATCTTCAGAAACTGCAAACACCCAGGCGGCCGTCAAACCACTGCATGAGTGAACGAAGAAATCAAGCATGGGAAACACCAGACCTGTTGCATCACAAAATGACCTTTATTGAGTGGAACTATGGCGCGCGGTGGATGCATAACGATTAAACGCGACTGCTTTTCGCCATGGTTACCTTGTTAAGTAAACTAGTACACCATTATTGTGCCTTTTACTGGTAAACGTTTGAGAAGAAGCGATGATGTGGTCTGGTACCACCACGGACCAGATTGGGACAGCACATAAACATATGCCAGATTATAATACACACTGCGCAGCACTGACCTTTCTTGCGTCCGTTCAGTTCAGAAACAATGAAAACCACTGAACACGACCAGTAACAAACCATGAACACAGCTCATCGGCAGCGTCTCACAGCTCTAGCATCCCGTTAGGTACGGAATGGCTGCTTGCCAGCCATCTTCACTTTACGGGCCCCGCAGCGACCAAGATAGCCATACAGACCCCTGACATGACGTCTACTGCACGGACTCCCACCCCGTCACCACGATCTGGCCTGTTTTGGTAAGACCGGTATGCCGCCCACTTCGAAAAGTTCATGAACTCCACAGGCACAGACAATCGCAATCGATATGACCAAGCTCTGGCCCGCACGGCCAGCCTGACCCGATGAGCTAGCTCTGACCCACGTGACCTCTCCCCCGGCCAGGTCGTCAGCTGCCTGCTGTGACCACGCGCCGACCCGTGCGCCGCGCGCCGCCGCTCACCTGTATGACCAGACTGGGGCCGGCCGCCACGATCTCGGGCGGGATGTGCGAGAGCGGGCAGTTCTCCAGGCTCAGCAGCTGCAGGTTCGAGCACAGCACCAGCTCGTACGGCAGACTGTGCAGGTTCGGGTTGTCGTTGATGTACAACGACTCCAGCGACTCCAGGTTGCCCACCTCCTCCACTAGGTGGCCGATGTTATTTTCGCCCGCGCTCAGGTAGGTCAGATTGGTCAGCAGCCTGAGACGGGCACCCGGTCTTAGAACGAGTTCACGCCACCAACACCCTGGTTTGAGTGGGCCCACACACCAGTGCAAAGCCTGGTTCAGTAGCATCCCCTGTTGAGTGAAGACAGTCCATCAAACTGTATCTGGTCTACCCTGAACAACGGGAAAACTGCTATCCATCCCAAGCAGCCCTGAAATATCCTTATGCCACTTGTACCGCAATTGCATTCCCTTTGTATTGCCTGGGCATGTCGAGATACCAACAAACGTGGAGCACACCGTCTGACAGCAAAGCAATTGGTGATTCAAACCAGCATCTTGTATCAAAATATGTATAATTTTTATTTTTCGTCGGACCCACCCGATCGCCCTGGGCAGCGAGGTGAGGCAGTTGCTCTGCAGCACCAGCCGCTGCAGATCGCGGAGGTAGCCGATCTCGTTGGGAAGCGTCTCCAGCTGGTTCTCCTCCAGGTCCAGCAGCCGCAGCTTCCGCAGGTTGCCGAGCGTTGACGGCAGACGCTGCACGGGCATGCTGGTGTCAGAGGACGCCTTCCGCCACAGGAGCTGCCATGAGTTGGAGGTACGGCACAGAGGGCCGCCACTGACAATGCACAGCTCTGTGCCCAAACGCACGACTCCGTCGAACGCTAGCGACTGGTATCAAACGAGGCAGCCCAAGGGGCCAAGCAGCGCGCGTTCCGTCCGCTCACCCTGAGCATGTTGTTGGAGAGGATGAGCACCTCCAGGCTCTGCAGGTGCTGGATATCGTCCGGCACCTTGGTCAGCTGGTTGGTGCCCAGATTGAGCTCCACCATGTGCTCCCAGGTGCCAATGTCCATCGGCAGCGAGGTCAGCAGGTTGTCCTTCATGTTCAGCTTGGTTAGGTGGCGCGCCCGCGACAAGATCCCGTACGGGATCTTGTCGATTTGGTTGTGCTCCATGTTGATTGAGTCCACGTTGGTGAACTGTTGGCAATGCAGACGAACGGCTGTCATTCGCCACGGGTGGTCACAACGTCCCGTCCCAACCGAGAAGCAAACCTCACGCCCCTGCATAGAGCGAGCACACTTGTCAAATATGCCGACTTCCCTTCAACGCAGCAACGAACATCACGTCCAGGCACTAGCCTGTCAGGCATTGGCAGCCGGGTTCGGCCGGTAAGGGGCCGACCATAAATAACATCATGCGTGAAGGAGGGGCTTTTGGTAGGGCATAACCGAAGTATCACCAGGGAGGGGGTCGGATGGCGCACCGTTACGTACCGGTGTAGTTGCAAGTCATGTTTGGATTTCAACAATCTAAAACCCTGCAGCCGGGTGTCGCGCAAATGGCCAAGCCAAATGGACGTTACCTTTTTCGGGATGCTATACTCAACACAGCATAACGTGGAGGATGGAAGTTTTGCCTGAGGTAGCTGATGCGTAACTCGGGGAGAGAGTTAAAATGCCTAAAAGTATGCAAGGTAATTGACGGATGACCCTAACCTCCGCTGACCCCAATTGAAGAGCCCACTGCCAGCTCACCTGCGCCGGCCCACCCACGGGGAAGCTAGTGAAGCAGTTTCTAGCCAGCGTGACGCTGGTCAGGCTATTGAGCGCCGACAGCAGGCCCTCCGGCAGGCGCGCCACGCTGTTGCCCTCCATGTTGTACTGGTCCATGAACACGCACTTGGCCAGCGACTTGGGTATCTCCGTGAGCCGGTTGTATCTGGCGAGGAGGCCAGAGACGATGTCACCTTTACTGAACATAGCACGCTGTTACTACCAGCTTATGCGGGGATATGCAACACAACTAACGTCAGCCTCCGTCATCTGGATAACGCATCGCACGGGATGCGCGTCTCACACCTACACGTACAAAAGCCTGCACGTTTCCCAGGGGCCAGAACGGCGGACGCAAACCGATCACAGCACCGGCCACAGACCCCCGCTGGTGACGGCCTGACGCTGCACCTGTGTACGCGTGGGACGCCCGCGCACTGCCCTCCAGTCGCGGCCGCGCCTCGTTCCCACCGACCTGAGCTCGAGTCGCGTGAGCGCGCGCAGATTGCCGATGGTCTCCGGTATGTCGAGCAGCTCGTTGTGCTGCAGGTCCAGCGTCGAGAGGTGGACGCAGTGGCCGATCGCCTCCGGCAGGTGCTCCAGGTGGTTGTGCGAGATGTCGAAGGTGACCAGCTTGACCAGGCGGCCCACGCCCGGCGTCAGCTCGCGGATCTTGTTCTCGCGCAGGCTCAGCATCGTCAAGTTCTGCCCCGGAATGGCGGGGTGAGAGGTCGGCACGAGCGGAGTGGCGGCGCGTCCGGCCGTCACACGCCCCGACGACGCAGCCAGCTGAGTGGCCACCACGCGCCGCGCCGCCAGCAACCACCCGGAAGATGTGCCAACCTACATGGATGAATGTGGGCTCCTCGCGATAATATAAATATTCGATGCCAAGAATAATGCTACGGGAATACAAATCCCCTCCAGCAAATATGCTGGAGCTTATTGTCTTAAACATGCATGCAAAAAGGGTGATGCAGGATCAATAGTGACAGGTCTCACAAAGTTCACAAAGCCACGGCACTTACCACTAGATTCTGTATATCATCTCCAACTACTTTGATTCTGTTGAACCTCAGGAACAGGGTCGTGAGGTTGGTCAGCTTGTAAACCACATCAGGTATCTGGAAACATTCATCAGCAATGTCATACAGCAATGAACGAATAGACGATCACCAAACGCCATCACACGACCCTGCCACAATTGTTTAAATGACACTTCAATCCCAAGGCTCCCTTTGCACATTCTGAACAAACATAGTTACACTTTTCTGATAAGCACCACAAACATGTCCTGATGAACCCTGTCCACTAGCTGTGAGCAATGCCTACGCACCTTGCAACATGTTTGTGGACTTGTTCCAATGGGCATTACAGTGTCATGCCACCCAACAATAATTAGCACGATGTACCAGGGGGTGGTGCGACGTCGCGGACGGTTGCACAGACCGGCGACCACTCACTGACCTCGTTCAGCTTGTTGTGCCGCAGGTCCAGCACGCGCAGCGAGGTGAGGTGCGCTAGCGAGTCGGGCAGCTGGGTCAGCGAGTTCTCGTTGAGCGCCAGCGTCTGCAGGCCGGTGAGACAGCCCATCTCGGCCGGCAGCGTCGTCAGCTTGTTGCCGTACAGGTAGAGCTCGTGCAGCTCGGTCATGTCACGCACCGTCGCCGGCAGGTGTGTGATCTGTTCGGCGACAGAACAGGCGTCAGCTCTCACGGCGCACCATTGGTACACCAGGTGTCGCCGGCCGACCAGTACGTGGTTTTCGCTGCATGAGTGTAATTGGCAGCTGTGGTGTCCATGGCTACGCAGCGTGGTAATACTACTTGGTGTTTTGTTTTTTTGTTTTTTGAGTTGTTGTGCACCTAGCCAGAAAGTGTTGATTTTTTAGATGGGAATAGAGCATATGTCTGAAACAGAGATCACTGGAGAGCCTGCTTTCCGATCTGGTCACGCATGCCAATGCTGTGATTAGATCATGGACAACCGCCCGTTTCCGTTCCGATAGCTCCGTTGGTTAGAGTGCCTGCTTTCCTATCCATCCAGCTGTGGCTGGACGAGCTCACGTTGCCTTAGGCTCTCGCTTTCAGCCTTTGATTGAGATGGCATACGGCTGACGGCAGCGACCGCACTACAGGTGAGGTGGCAACAGGGGCAGGACGGACCGTCTCGAGCATTGCTGCACGTTCAACTTTCGCCGTACATTCTGCCGTTTACCCGGAATTTCGCGGTAAACCGCCATTGGCCACCATGGCCCACCATTCGCGGCCGAATGGTGGGCCACGGCTGCTCCGACAAATCTGCTTAGCATGAACACTGATCCCAATCATTCCCCCAATCAAAATGTTTGGACCAACTTAAAAAGATACATGGCCCGCACGCAAGACTTTGAAAGCGTCAGACGAACAGAGCAGCCAGCTGCTAGTACTCATCACAACTAAGTACCCAAACGGTCCGTCGAGCGAGCGCCCTGCAGCCAGGGTACTGTCCCGGCCCCTGTCGCCACAACACACCGTGCCCGCCGCACCCCGCCCGGCGGCCGACTCACGTTCGACTTGCTGAGGTCGAGACGGCGGGCGCCCTCCTCCCGACAGCGCAGGAACTCCTTGGCCACGTCCAGGTCGGCCTGGATCGGCTTGTTCTTCTTGACGGTCGGCTTGGGCTTGTTCTCGTCCACCTTGACGGTGACGGTCTTGGGTCGGCTGGAGTCTCCGGCCGTCAGCGAGCCCGACGACAGCTTCTTCTCCTTGAGCGCGGCCACGAGCTCGGCGGCCGCCTCCGGCATCCGGTCGCCGTCGGCCGAGCCCTGAGGGTCAGCAGCAGCTCGGGTCAGCGCGGACCAGAACCAGCGTCAGCTGGGAACAGCTGGGGCGATTTTTCCACATGACGGCGCGTGCTGTGTTGTGTCAAGTGTCCCAGCACTGACCGTTTTTTTTCAACAGGTCGTGCATAACATCATCATAATGCATATGGGGACAGCTTTAAGTCTTTATCCATCCTTCCTCTATCACAAACCACTTGGGTTGAATCCCTGCCCGATCCACACGCAAAACCTCCGAGTCATATGGGCCCCGTGTCACGCGCCCTTCACATGCACACACACCGACACACACACACACACACACACACACACACACACACACACACACACACACACACACACACACACACACACACACACACACACACACACACACACACACACACAAATGGCTGGTCTGTGTGAGCAAGTGCTGCAGGCCTTACCTCTGGCCGCAGCTCGGCGAGCCTGTCGGCCGAGGGCGCCGCCTCCTGGCTGCGTGACTTGCTTGTCTTCTTCATGGTCTGGCAAGACCACTTCACGTCACTTCACCAGCTCAGCCGGTCCTGCCATCGACCAGCCAAACTTGAACAACAGATAGCACAATGCGTGACAACATGAAGGGCAAGAGTAAAACATTAAAGAGTGCAAAGCACCAAATTAACTGTTTGCTCACCCCATTTGAAGTGTTTGGGACAAAAGGTGGTCAACAGCATGACTGTTTTGGAACAGTCTACAATAGGCCCTATGCAATGCTTACATACTTATGCAATGGGTGTAGACAAACTATACACAAGAACACTGTGAACACTTGGAGTATGTAAAAATCTTCAACATGATCTTAACAATATGTCAGAATTGCATGATAGTTCATAAGATGATCCTCACAGCCTTATGAACATAAGCATTGTAATCTCATTAAACCTTTGGAATTCAGACTTAAGGTACACATAATGGTGAAAGAGAAATGAGAATCATTTATCCCTCTGGGATGTAAGGTAGTTTACAGCCTGGAGTAAGACATTGGCTGTGAGCAAGGTGAACACTGGATCTCAACAAGTCATGCACTGTTCCTCCACCAACATGCAAAAGTATCTTAGTGCATAAATAATCAACTGATTATTGCCCAGTCTAGCAACATTTTACACACATCAACACTCATTCCAAGCACTGCAGTCCCGGCCACTGTTGATATTCAGCTTCGCACATATCTAGGCTCAGTGTCATTCCCTTATACTGTGAACATGCAGTGACAAAGCCAGATAAGCTACCCAGGTGGATCGAAGTATTTTTGATTACATTAATAACTATGGACTCACAGGGCCATCACAGCATTTTCAAGCTAAGTATTTTACTTAGCATCATCTCTCATCACCTTTCTGAGTTTCTTCAACTAAAACAAATACCAGAGGCAGTAAAAATGTGCAAGTTGAATCCAATGCATTATAATTCCTCGACATTACACATGCTGCATGGAATCCATGAGTTATGTATAAAGGCCTAGTTTAAACATTTCCCATCAATACACCATAAAACACTAGCAAATAGTGGGATAATGACTCAAATCACCTACCTATAAAGCTTCGCCTAACCAAGACTGAATAGAATATGTTATGCTGGACATGTCTTGCATAGCAGTCTTTCAACATAACTAAAAAAAAAATTCCAGTACACCACAATCTGAGCACTCCGAGTTTAACGCATGCTTGCCAGCAATTTCAATATACAGAAGCCGATGCCTCCAAAAATCACAATTTGCAGGTAATTTCAGGCAAAAATATCATGAAAATGTTTTCCTAGACTGACAAAATGAAAAATCAGGGCTAGTTAACTTGGCATGAATTTGATGCCTGCCAACATGAGGTTTGGTACACCAATTTTACATTGGTGTGTGGCACAGTGGGCACCACAAACTGTCATGCCCCCATGCCCACAAGCACAATGGAACTCTGCAGAGTAGCATCCACCCCTGCAAATTATACTTAATGAAAGCAATGCTTTCAGCATCTTTCCAATATTTGCTTGTCATTTATGACTCATTCTATCCAAATTCAAGGCATTATATTCTCATATCTTACCACATATAAATGATCAACAAAACTCCACAGAGTACTATGATGTCCACCTGACTTATAAGGCCTCCTAGCAGCATCCTGTAAAAGATGCACCAAAAACCCTATGTAAATTAAGAATGATTTTACTGCACCTACTGCCTCAACCAACCTTCAAAATATGCAAATTCTGCCCAAAGAACACAGGAGAGTACAAAGATAAGAGATCTGAAAATCGTGAACACCCCTAACACCATCATGAACAATGTTCTAGCAATGGCAACCCAGCAAGGGGGAGCTTATCTGGGGAGGTAGATACATATTTATCACTGATATTCCAGCTCCGTAGGCATGCACGCAACCTGGAAAAGCAATGAGACGAACAATCAAGCTCACCTGCGCCATTCACTTCCCTTCATACTGTAAGGATTGTGCACGGGCAAACAGTTACCCAGCCGATAAGCTTCAAGATTTATGAATATGAAAACGTCTTTTCATGTATTCCTCGAATAAGCACTTCACGTTGGCCTGGGCTAAACCCTAACGTACCACCCCCTCTCCCCGCATACACCAATTTGCGCCATCCACAGATCCTACAAAGCAAGGCCTTAAATATCGGAAAGTCACCAAGCGGTCTTTTCGCACTATGAGCGTAGCGAAGATGACGTCACTGGAAGTCACGCCGGCAGCAGTCCGCCGTGAGTATTGAAATGATGACGCGTAACCGCCGGACGCCTCGTGTCATAGGGGCCGTCTAAAAAATACGCTTCGCATGGATTGGAATGACGAGATACACTGCGGTAATAATGATTTATTGTCATGAAGGCGTGCATCATAAGATTTAGAATAGTAGACTATAAGCGCGGTGATTGAATGTTTGCAACATTGTTCAACACAGGGTGTCTCTCAGAATGGTGTGACCGGCCGGGACCCCTACGAGCACCGTGGCAGTCTGGTTTAACTCTCAAAGATCACAGCATGACAAGCTAATTGCTTTCGCAAAGACTCGGGACGACCTTCGAAGTACGACAGATTCGGGCCAAGACGTCTCTCAAGAGCGGCGCAACAGGCTGGGACACCTCCAAGCGCCGCAGTTTGACTGCATGGCGCGACAGCTTGATACAAATATCCAAGCCGTGCGGAAGGCCGGAACACCTGCTGCACGACTGGCAGAACAGGAGCGACAGGACAGGACTGGTAGGACACCTCTCCATGCGGCACAACAGGTCGGGACACCTCTCTCAGAATCGTAGCAAGGTCGTTCACTTCTTCACTCTGTGCGACGGCCACGGGACGCCGTGCTGTCTGCCGTCCGTCCGTCTGCCATGCGCGTACTCATCGTACACGCTGAGCTGCCTCTCCGCGGCCCACAGGTGAGACATGAGTGCAGAATAATGGGGAGATTTGTATTTAAATGTTGGGTGGTTATATCTGTTTTAAAACGAATGTACTTTTGGGTCGGGTGGTTTTTCTACTGTCGCTTAGGTGCTACACGTAATAATGCACCGGTTCAGACCAGTTAACCAACAATTACTGAGGGCCGCCGGTATCGGCGCAGTCCGCGCCTCGCGGATGGCACTGCTGACGCGGTCACGTCGGTTCCAAACGCAGCGTCATAACGGTTGTCGTCGTCGCGGCTCCAGGCACCGCAAGGCAAGCATACCACGGCAAACAAACCAGGTAGTCTCACCGCCTGCCGGAGCCGCTGACGTCTCCCCCTAACCGGTCACACAGACCGTCCTGGGCACGGGGAAGTGCTTTCCAATACGGGGGCCCTAGGAGCTGACATCACAGCGCTAGGCTGTGACTGTACAGGAACTCTGTCATCGCCTGGTCACAACATCCAGCGCCCTCAGCCATACGTAAGCGAACGTTCGATAGGACGGGCGATTGTGAGCGGTGGCCGTACAGCATTGGGACGGGCGACAGGCGATCGGCGCGAGAAGTGTGACGCAGCTTCAGGAGGCCGATCACAGATGTCGCGCTGGTCGGTCCATCCACCACCCCGTGCCAGATATGGTCACCCGGTCGACCGCGCAGGCCGCGGGCCGTCGGCGCCAGGGCCGGCGTGGTCACGGCTACACGTCAATCGCCTCCGTCCCCAGCACGGCAAGTTAGGACTTATCTAAGCGATGTGGTAGGTCCCGTGGTCGAGTGCTTACTTACGAGGTTTGATGGACCTCGATGCCGGGGTCTCCTTCATCAGCATCGACAGACCTTGGTGACACCCAGCGGCAAACTCTGGCGACTCTCCTCTAACAGCGGCATGCCTGCGTGCCAACTCTCCTTCTCCAGCGTTCGCTGACCCAGGCGGCAGACAGTGACAGGCCCAAATAGCACACGGGAAGGAGTTCAGAAGGCCCAGAAGCTGCAAATGCTAATGACATAAACCCTTCACTTGTGTGGAGGGCTGATGTCATTGTTCACAAGGAGCTGGAAAAATTGTATCATTGCCGACACGTTAAATGCCACAAAAAGATGGGCTCGAGCATACAACATCTGACTGCTTCCTATTTTTTTGCATTCCTTCCTCCTTTTCAGACCCTTATTACCGTCCTTCTGGTCTAGTATTCTGCCAAGCACAAGTATTTGCTAATTTGTAGCTTCCTGACCATCTAGTGGATAGTGGGGAATTTTATTTTTTCTAGTACTGGGAGGTTATGAGAGCTCTCCCAGTGGCATGCACACATGCATACAGCCAAGCATGGACTCGTGCTTGGATATCGTTAATCAAACCGCACAGTTCGAGATGGGTACGATGCAAGCCCCAGGTGCATGAACATGAAACACAGTTGAATGGCGAGCGTCGGCGCCCTGAGGCTGGGAATACCCTCCCAGATTTTCACTGCGAACATTTTAAAAGTTACACTTTACGTGTTGTCAGGCTACTAACCAGCTATAAATCAACCACTGCATAGCCTATAATAGCCGTGTATTCGATGATTAAAATATTTCTCGGTCGGACTGCCTCACACGCAGCGGTGAACTGCCGCACACGACGCCGACAGGGAGAGACCCACCTTACGCGCCCGACCAGCACCTTTTATACTCCTTCCAAGGCTCATACCCGCAACACGATCTGCGCGCGACTAGCCGGCGCCACCGTAACGCACTGCCCCGAGCCGTGATTGTTCTCCTCACTCAGGCATGAGTCATCGCTCCACTCGCCTTACTTGCTGACACACTGTCCCAGAGCATGGTCCACTGCTACAAGCCGAAATATTGATAAATCGTAAAATTATAAGGACTACTAAAGTCACTGATTACTAAGTAGACTTACTAAAGTAGACTTACTAAGAAAAAGGTGTTCTCTGAAATATTATTTTCCACTTAAAAATAGTACACCAATAGTCAAAAGATAGCTTATTTCCTCACATCTGATCCTTACTTAGATTCCTTCCAATGCGAAACACTACCTTTAACACATGAATGGCAAATGGTGCTGCCAGCTGGCCACGATTTTGAGCCCAACACTGAGCAGTTGGTTCTGTTTCGGTTTAAGCCCTTGGGTGCCCACTTACTGAGCAGGAGGAAGGCCATGGCCCGATATTTTCATCGGTCGGGGTCCCTGAAACAATGCGAGCCTCCTGCACCGATTGGGAACCGCTGGGACAATATGGACTTCTATTTCGGTGAAAACCACCGACACGAGCAGTCGGTTGCGGGTCGGTCTCAGGTCTGGACACCTATTTCCCAGGCTGGCACAAAGCAGGGGCCAATGACTTGCATCGGTCGTGCCTCTCCAACAACGAGGGGACGGTGTATCCGTCAGGGGCCCTGAGTGCCGAGCAAGAGTCCTGTGTCGACGGGGGCGTATCCAAAGGGGGAGGGGGTACAGGTCATTCCCTTGGACACCTGAAATATTGGAGCCTCGAACGGGCATAAAAATTGGCACCGGTCGCAATTCTGAACGGCCTGAAGCCCTGCCTGTAGGTCACATTGAGGACGATCGTAACGCCGCGACCTCAAATGTCAATCAGAATACCTTTTACGTCGATCGGGTGCCCCTGGGACACTGAAAGCCTCTTTTTCGACAAGAAACCACTTACACTGATTGGTCAGCTCCGCGTCATTCTGATTCATGAGGGTCGATTTTTCAAGCAGGAACAAGACCGGGGCATGCAATTTGCATTGGTCGGAGCCCCTGAAACAATGAGGGGCCATTGTGTGCTCCATGGGCCCGCATTGCCTAGCAAGGGGTCCTATGTCGACAAGGGGTTCCCGAGTTAGTCAGGGAACATTTGTCGACAGGGTGAAGAACGGGATCGCGAATGCCAGAGGGCCTCTGGGGTTGGTTGCGGACCTCTCAGTGACAGGTGTGAGGACTTGTGAGAGTCCACATTAAGACAATGGAAGGGCCCCAGTACGGGGAGCCGCCCATTCGATTCAAGCCATATGCCCGAACTGGAGTCTATGTGCCAAGCATTCGACCACCTGCCGTCGATAAGGGATCTTGTTCCGCCAGTGAGTGTTCTTGCGTCGATCAAGTAGCATCAAGCGGCGGGTGCCAGGCGCGCGAGAATGACAGCCGTGACATGCTTCCGAATGTCTTTCACAATAAAGTAGTGCCGCTCGAAGATGAGACTGGAGCGTATCTCTTTATAACTTTAAGGTTGTCCTCTTGGCTGAGTAACGGTTATAGCGACATAAAAAAAGATATTCCGCCCTGACTATCCTTTCATCACCAGATTCCATCCCCAGTCCACGGTGATATAAATGCTAATTCGTTCTTATCAATCCCAGAATAACATAGGTGGGATATACGCCAAGACTTCCCTCTTAACGCACGCATCGATGTCGTAAATCGTTCAACAGTACTCCTTTCAGGTGCAATTTTATTTGCTCACCTGTCGACCGCCGTTTGATGTCCGCTGCGGGTTGCGTGCCGCGCGGCTTACGAAGCTGCGATGCCCGGCTTGGGATTTTTATTCCAAGCTTTGTTTGCGAGCGTGCCTGTTCATCGCTATGTTAACTAATTTTTTCAACAATCGACCCTTACTGAAGGTTAAACATTTCCAAACGAACATGGCTTGTCCATGTTACTGATAATTTTGGAATTCATTTCGATCTAAGATCCGCGTTCACGGGGTATTAAAAATATCTGTACAACCAAGGGAAAAATGATGTCAAACTTGCGCGAGTCCTATCAGCTGAGGTAAAATGAATAGTGCCGGTGATTTATTCAATGCAGTCATTTAATACTCGCTTTCTTTTGTTTACTGACTTCAAAGTAAAAAGTGTCGCATGTCCCAGTGGCTCCTGGTTTCTGTTCCAGTTAAAACGGGCCCGGGTAGCCGGTACTCTTCGTACTAAGTACTCGTAAGTACTCTTCGCTCGGGCGGGGTTTTAATTTGACCCCTCTGGGATGTCGAAAACAATAATTCACAGAGTTGGTTGACCTGTATGTGCACTAACTTATGTTAACATTTAATATTCTTGGGTCATAACCTTTGAGTCAAATGGGTCAAACAAGGTCAACCCCTAATTGGTGTCCAAAATGTACCCAGACGTCCTCATGGAGCCGCCGTGCACCTAGATACCTCTCTTGGGCAAAGGGTCAGTGGCATTCATTTA